TATTTTTAGTAGAGATGGGGTCTTGCTCTTGCTCAGGCTGGTTTCGAACTCCTGAGCTCAAACAATCCGCCCACCTCGGCCTCCCAGAGTGCTAGGATTGCAGGCGTGAGCCACCACGCCTGGCCAAGATATGTACATTCTTTAGACAGTGCTACTGCACGCTTAACAGACTACGGTATAGCGTAAACATAATTTTTATATGCACCGAGAAACAAAAAGATTGGTGTGACTTGCTTTATTGCGGTGGTCTGGAACCGAACCGGCAATATCTCTGAGGTATGCTTCAGTCTTCATTTGTGAAATGTCCTTCACGTCTTTTGCCCATTTTTGATTAGTTTACTTGTTCATCTTCTTTTGTTGACTTATAAGAGCTCTTTATGCATTCTGTTTACCAGTCTTTCTTAGGTGTATATATTATAGATGTTTTCTCCTAATCTCTGGCTTATCTTTGAATTTTCTTAATGGTGTCTTTGAAAGAGCAGAAGTTACTAATTTTTTCTGAGGTCCAATTTATCAGTTTTTCTTCATGGTTATCTACTGTGTTATATTAAAGAAGAAAGCAATATGTATAAGAATAACAAGTTCCTCCCTAATAATGTTTAAAACCTCATTATACTCAGACACATCTCACCTGGTAGGCAAGGCCCACACCACTCTGCACCAGCCAGCCTAACTGTTGTTCTCCTTGCTCTCCGCAGGGTGCCATGACTCCTGGGATCCCCATCTTTAGTCCAATGATGCCTTATGGCACAGGACTGACCCCACAGCCTATTCAGAACACGAGTAGTCTGTCTATTTTGGAAGAGCAGCAAAGGCAGCAGCAGCAGCAGCAGCAGCAGCAGCAACAACAACAACAGCAGCAGCAGCAGCAGCAGCAGCAGCAGCAACAACAGCAGCAGCAGCAACAGCAGCAGCAGCAACAACAGCAGCAGGTGGCCCAGCAGTCCACGTCCCAGCAGGCAGCGCAGGTGGCCTCGGGCCAGGCCCCCCCGCTCTTCCACTCGCAGACTCTCACCACAGCACCCCTGCCGGGCACCACACCCCTGTACCCTTCCCCGCTGACGCCCATGACCCCCATCACGCCCGCCACGCCAGCCTCTGAGAGCTCTGGGATTGTGCCTCAGCTGCAGTGAGTACCTGGGGTGATGTCCTCTTGCCTGCTCCAGAGGGCTCCTCGGAGCTGGGTTCTTGTGTTCTGTTTTCAGATGGGTCCGTTTACTTAAGGGAGCGGCACCAGGGGTAGTTGTGTAACAATTTGCCCTCTCTCTCCCTTGAGAGGGGAAGCAAGGCTGTCTCGTGAGTCAGTGCCTTCAGTGAAAGACTCGCAGCATTTTCAGAACTGTGGTCAATAGTGCCTATACCTTTGGACCAATGAGATTTATTCTGGATTTCATTACTACTATGAATATTTCATTACTATTATGTATCTGATTTGCTAGATCACGACATTATGTGCTGTCTTTCCCTTGTGATATTGTATGTCTTTGGTTGCATCATCAGGGTGGGTCATAGTGCTTCTTAGTTTTCTTCATTTTTACCGTGGGGGCTGCGTGTAGTCTTTGAAGATCTGTGTCCGTCCCACAGGGGAGCATGGCTGTTCTTATCCTAAATGGGTTTTTCTACCTAAATGAACTGGGTCCTGTATGTAACAGGGTAGTGGGGCAGGAAAAAATTTCTTCCTACAAAACAGGCAGGTATTTCCAGATACCAGTCAATGAGAAGTGTATAGCTTTTACTTTTAGGGAGTTTATGACCAAAGTAAAGGGTTCTTTGCAATCACAGCATCGCCTCAGTTTTCTCATGCAGCCATCTCCTTCTCTCCTACTCCCTTCAGATCTGGCATTTCCCATTCGCACATAATCATCCTGTTAGTTGTGCGGTTGTCATTTGTAAACCGTCTCCAGCCATCTTTGGAACCGAGTGATGTGCAGTCGTAGATCCTCTTACCCCCCCGTTTTGTTTGACCCCCACACGGTATTTTAAAAGCGGAATAATTTTAGTTCTAATGATTTTAGAGAGATATGCACTTGTTAGTTCACCTTTGTCTGCGCTGCTTCCAGTTGTCTTGTGTGCTCATCTGACTCCCGAGGACGTTCACATTTGCACTTTACACTGCTTTAAATCAGTCCCGTCAGGTGTTTGCTCCTTACCAGTGCCTTAGCTGTTCCCACCAACCATCTGGTCAGTCGCATTCCTGAGGGTCCACTAGCTACTGAGAACCCTACTGGGTGGTAATTCAGTGGCCTCTAA